TTCAAATTAAAAGCCCCACAGAATGAATTCTAACTGGAATGCTTGTGATGAAGCCTCTCATTTTAGTGTCAAACATTATGATTCTGTCTCCTCTCTCACCCACCCAGCCCCACCCTTTCAAAATAAAAGCCCCACAAATACAAGATTCAATCCAAAAGTATGAATCTAAAATGCAGAAAAGACAGTAGCGCTATCTCAATTGAACCTGAATGACACTACCGGTAACATTGGCGTGTGTATATATTGCGATTTCTTCGGGCAGCAGAAGCCACACTGTCAAAATTTCTTTAGGAATTTTCTAGTTATTCTTATTATTAGGGCCCGAGCACCGACATAGTCGGAGTGGAGGACCTATTGTTATTCTAATGTTTATTATTATTATCGCGTGTTTCGTCGCAAAAAGGAGGTGCTTGGGATACTGGAATACATTGCAGTCTGATTGGGATGTTCAGCTGCGGTATGAAATATTGGCTCGATAGCGCCCCCTATTGAGTAGCTCCAACATTAGGTTTCACCTAGCTGTATGAAATGTGGTAGGTATGTGGAACTTGATGGGACGTACAAAAAATCCTCTTGGAATTTTTCACTAAACCAAACAGGAAGTCGGCCATTTTGAATTTTATGACGTTTTTGGACCATTTCAAGGAGCCCTACTTCAACGAACTCCTCCTAGAGATTTAACCCGATCGACTTCAGATTTTTTTCAGTTGAGACCTTGGCAGTGAAAAGTTACTCAAAGATCAAAAAGTTATCAAACTATGTATCCGTGGCGGCAACAAAACACCATTCGCCATGAAAAAGGAAGTTGTTGTAACTTGGCCGTACATTGTCTAATCTGCTCCAAATCTCTCATGTCATAACATCCTGACTCAGAACACATCTATATGACAATTTAGAATCATAGTAATAGCGCCACCTTGTGGCAACTGGAAGTTGTAAGTTTTGTACTTTGACATCCTGCTCCTCACAGATTAATCGGATCCCTCTCAAATGTTGTCAGAAAAGTCTTAAGACCTTGATAATGCTTCATTGTGAAGATTGTAAGAAGTTGTTGAAGGGCAGCGACGTGGCGGCTCGGCGAATTTCAATCCTTCGCCATTAACAAATAAACTGATGTAACTCGAATCCACATCATCAGATCTTTACCAGATTTCACATGTTTGATTAGACTCCAGGCTTGAAGACATCTGCAGGCCAATTTTGAATCAGTCATAGCGCCACCTACTGGTAACCTCTTCGTAGGTAAATCAGACCAACATCAAATTAGTTCCACACAAATGTAAGAAGTTCATAATGCCAGTTCATGAAGCTTTTGATGTTTCGTCGAACGCCGTTGCCGTGGCGACGCAGTCTTCGCCATGAAAAACGAAGGTAATTTTAAGAGGCTAAAAATGCTCGAAACCTATGCAAACTTGACACGCAGATTACAAGCCCAAAATGTAGTTGTATAATAAGATTTTATAGGTTCAGAGTGGCAAATCGGCTCAATGGCGCCCCCTACAAAATTTAAACGAAGCAGCCCTCGCAGTACGTTTCACCTAGATGTAGAACATTTGGTAAGCAGATGTATCACATGACACAAAGTCTTAGGGGTCTAAGCTCTAAACCCAACCGGAAGTCAGCCATTTTGAATTTTGTATGATTTCATGAAAATTTAAGTTGTAACTCCAAGGTACAAATCGAGGTCAAATCTGCCCAAAATTTTTTATGCAGGATGCTAGTCCAGGCCTGAAAACATTTGCATGCCTCAATTTTCACATAGTCATAGCGCCACCTACTGGCAACGGGAAATGACAAGTTGTACACTTTGATGTACTCCTCCTAGCCATTTCACCAGATCAACCTCAAATTTCAGAAAGAAAGCCTTAATACATTGATAATAGTTCATCATGAATTTTTGTGAGTTTTCGTCAAAAGATGTTGCCGTGGCAACGCATTATTCATCATGAAAAGGAAGCTGATTTTTCTGTGGCTTAGGATGATCAAATAGTCATGGAACTTTGTACATGTCAAAGGTGATAAACATAAATATCTCGTATGGGTTTTGCCTTTTCTATCAGAAATTGCCTTGACAGCGCCCCCTACTAACATTCAAAAGAGCAGCCCAGCGGTACATTTCACCTAGATGTATGAAATTTAGTAGGCAGATGTATCACCTGGAGACTTTAAAAAAAGTATCTTGAGACTATGATCTAAATTATATTGGAAGTCTGCAATTTAGATTTTTGTGTGAATTTTCTTTTCATTTTTGAACATTTCTAGGCACTATACTTTAACAAACTCCTAGGGAATTTTGCGGATCCACTTCAAATTTGGTTAGTACAATCTAAAGACCTTTGTGATTAAAAGTTATCAAAAGCTTTACGTTTGATTCAATGGTGTAGCCATGGCGTGGTGGCCATTTTAAATGACTCCCATGAAACAGCAAGCTGATGTATCTCCACTGGATTTGTTCAAATCTGTCCCAAACTTGCCATGCTTGATAACAGTCATAGCCTGAGGATGTCTACAAGCCAGTTTTCCATCTAAGTCAAAGCGCCACCTAATGGCGAAAGGAAATCAGTGTTATTTGACAAACGATATCTGATTCACATGACATTTACATGATGTTGTCTACACTTGATATAGAGCAACATAATGCATGTTGACGCGCGTCGTTTAGCTCCACATAGTGGATACAGGAACTGGTGGAATATTTGCACTACATAATTTCCAGCATCACACAGTCGAACCATTAAAAATACGTCTAACTTGTGGGCGCACGGTCTGATGGTCGCAGATATTTATGGCCACTTCTGCCGGCGTCCCGCCAGTACCCCCGAGGCGCGGGAAGGTGCGAGGGCCCGTACATCGCTGCTTGCAGCTTTAATTCAGTGTTGCTATTTTCCATTTTGATGTGTATGTTATGTGCCTCGGTGTTATATATGTGCTTGTACTGTAGGTGGGTTTGTTCTGCCTGCTGCAGCCTATGTCTGCTCTGCTCTAGTGTCTTATGTACACTTCTCTTTTGCTTATATGTGTATTGGTTTTGTCTATACGTTAGTCTGTTTATGAATTTTACTTTTTTTTTTTTTTTTTTTTTTTTTTTGACATTTTGTGATTTTAGGCTGCCTTCAAACATCTGGACGGGGACAGCAGATGAAAACTAGCCTCTCTGGCTAACTCTGGCTCACTTACAGTTGGACTGTTGGATGGTGTGCATTGTCCCTGCAAAACAAACAAATAAATAAATTATTTTATAATTTGGCACTTCAAACCCTGAAAATGTCAGGCAGTGCAACCGTCCTAGCAAATGAACAGACTAAGAAAACTATTAAATAAGGTATTTAAATGACAATTAATTCAAAATAAAATACTATGGCATGCTTTTATTGTTGATACAATTTAAATAAACCAAATTTTTACAAATACCAATACTTTTAAGCTGTTGAGATAATTTCAAATCTTTTGTCCAGCAATTTCAATGTGAGGGTGGTACAAATGTAAAGATGGGACTTTTGTTATAAAATTAAAGTGCAGAACAGTAAACAGGATATTGCATCATGAAGAGGACCTCAACTGACCTTTATGGCAGGGTGAAAATGTTTTTATATCTCTTTTAAATATTGATAAAAATAGTTACTTTCAACTTATTGGTAGGCTGGTACACTTTTCATGTCAAGTGGTACAAACATTTTTATTTTATCCTACATTTCTATTTAAAATGTATATGTATGAAGTTGTTAGCAAGAGTAAAAGCTAATGCTGGTGTCCTAGTAGATGCCTGTTTAATTTGAAATGAGTTGCAAATGTCAGGTGGCACAACCAGTAAGTCAGGTAGCGCAACTGCAAAGAATCTCACTATATATTATATTTAAAGCTCTAACATTATTTACTATTTTTTTTTCAAATGTTTAACAGTGTTAAGTTAAAGTTATTATACACTTTCAAACTATTTTCATGATAATGAATATTTCTTAACTATTTAGGATGCCACTGTCAAGTAAAGTGAAATCAGCACGACACAGGGAGCGCATTAATAATGATCCGGCTGCAAGAGAAGCATATCTTGCCAAAAGAAAGGTAATACATCTTGATAAAACTATAATTAATCCAAAGTTATTTATTCATAGTTTATTTTGCAGTTCTTACTTTTAAACAGTGGTCAGACATTCAGGTTTTTAAATGGGAATATGCCAGTTTTTTTTTAGTTCTCATATACTTATATGTTTTATAGTTATTAGAGGAGGAAGAGAGAGGGGGCCATTGTGGAAACCCCCCCCCCCCCCCCCCCCCCCCCAGCCAGCTGTCCAAAACAGAAAAGAAAAAATTGAGGCAGCAGTGGAGGCAATATCAGAGAACAGGGAAAGGAAAAGGCTATGGAGGAAATCTGGAATTTCACACCTGAGTCTTTGGATACAACTCCCATAGAACTCCAAGCAGAACCTCAAACTAACCCTCCCAACATTGACAAAGATAATATTGTCAATTTAGATGGACAGCAACCCAGAGCATCAACACCACAGAGAGTAGGAAGCACTAAAAGGAAATGGCAAAGAGAGAAGGCAAAGTTGCGTCGTAAAATGCACAAAATGAGAAGAGAAATGGAAGCTGAGAAAAGAGAATCTGCCAGATTACGAAAATGCATAGAAATATTAAGGAAAAATCATTCCAAAGAGCTAAAGGCAAAATCTGTAACTGAAGAGAATAGACCAAGAATTGCAAAGAAATTAGCTATCCAGAGAACTCCATTTGCAGTATAATTCCGAAATGCAAAGCTCCCACAGGCTGTCTTACCGACAGTTCCTCCGATATTGTCCTTTCTTTGTTACACAGCCAAAAGTGGGACAGGAACACATGTGCATGCTTGGACCGAAAAACTGCAGCAGAGAGGTGTTGTGAACACTGCCAACGTTTCTTAGCTGTGTGTAGTCCAGACAACAAGTCATGCATGTATCGAGTGTGTGCAAAATGCTGCTACAATGAGGTAGAAGTTGCAACACCCCAGGCGGGAAGTGACTGTGATTTTGCCTATTCCAGTTATGTGCTAAACATGATTACTATGAAATATTTACTACTTTTACTTAAAAACAGACTGTTGACTAACAAAATTGTGTTGTATTTATTTATAATTGTATATAAAAATGCAATTATTCTGCATATTTCCTGCGATTACTAATATTGTCAGGTGGCACAACTGATAAATGTCAGGTGGTGCGACCTGGTAAAATATTAATTTAAAGGGTATGTTAAATAGGTTAAAGTGAAAAATTGTTTGCTTAATATGATGTGAAGAACTATTGTATTGAATGTATTCATTTGTATATTTGTATTATGTTTCTCTGTTTCATTTTATTATTTATAAATTTAATTTATATTCCACCCCCCAAAAACACCATACGTAATGTGGAAAACTGATTTTACAATAGTTGAATATATTTGCAAAATTGTAGTTGCAGAACACTTTGACAGTGCCATAACAACTTCAAACAAAACAGGTCCTGTTACATTTATGATTGCACCTACAGAGTCTCACTTATGGACATGAGTCACATGACTGCTGTCATAATACCTAGCATGGTACAAAGTGCATCCCAAGTAAAAACAGGGACACACAGTAAAGGCCTGATAAGTGTGAATTATACGGTGTAACATTCAGGTGAGTGGTGAGAATATGCTTCGTCAGAAACATAAGGCAAAAATCCCTCATACTTTTATGTAATCATATTAACATTATTTCGTCTTTACATGCCATTTTTTTTACACCATCAGTTAAATACTTCTTTCAAAATTTGCTTGCTTATATTTTGGAATACTTAGAAAATACATAAAAATAATTATAATAATTACGTCGTATCATTGTAATTTCAAACATGCTAAAAGACTTTAACGGAATCGTGTTTTTCATTTGCGTGTTGTTGCTTATGTTTTTTCCTGTTTGTCTCCCCAGCGTTCTTAAAGGATCAGAGCAGTCGATGTTCTCGGCATGTGGTTCTGAAGCAGGACTGTGGATCTCTGCTTGCCCTCAATATGAACACCTACACCGACATCCGGCTCTTTGCTGTGAGTCCCACATTTACTCTACAATACACTGAAAGAAAACATTTATATTCAAACACTGTCATTCTCAGGGACGTTTAATGCACCCCAGAGGATACACTGGTATTAAAGGGTTAATCCACCTGATTTACATTAAAATCTTGTGTGGGTTTTCCTAATTTTTTGTATTTAAAGTACAATACCTAACAGCTGAAGTAATCTCTTTGGTGTTGTAATTTATTTTATTTGTTTTGGTGAGTTGAATCTGCTTCAGCCATTTTCATTTAGCCAAGTTTTGAGTTTACTCAATTTTTTTACATTTTTAAATAAGAAAACAAAGTAGCATGGATGTTTGTGCACAAGATAAATGAGTCACTGTATTGGAAACGCTGAAATAACAGAGAATCGGTTGAAAGATGTTAAACCAAATCTTTTCCACTCAACAGGGGAAGACTCAAGATGCAGCAGTAAGTATGCCTACTTTTTTGTTTGACTCCAAGTAAATTAGGTGATCGACAGAAAAATAATTGACATATTTTGATAAGCGATTAATCATTTAAGTCAGGGGTTCCCAAACTTTTTCTGTGAAGCCCCCCTTTGATGATATAGGAACATTGTAAGCTCCACCGCACCCGACCCCACCCACCCCAAATGGGTCGTACCGTCTTTGTTTTGAATTAATTGCATTATAATATATAAACTCTATAAAATATTTGTTTTTCCTTATCACTTCACTTTTTCCATTTTACAGTTTATTGTTCAGTTTGTTTTACTGAAAAATAAATGGCAATAATAAAATCAATTTCCAAAAAGATTGGACTTTAGATTGCTTTCAAGTAGTGCTTTCACACATATTAATTGCATTACATTCTTCAATACATTTTCAAGTAAAATTAACTTCAAATGTTAAAATTGAAGTTAGGAACAGTGCAACAACTCATTTCCCCATTTAACAGTAGGGTTTTCAAACTGAATTTGTGTGCAAGAAAATAAAGAATCCTACATATAGAATAATGATCAAAGACAAGATGTGCAAGTTACTCAGTGCTTTCTCTGCATCGATCACATTCCTATGCATAGGCACATTCCTATTCCTACATGGAAATTGCTTTCTGACATATTCTTTTGAAAATAAAATGAACTTCATTTCTTTTAAGTGCAAACGACGTATATTTCCTCATATTTAACAGCGAGTTGTGCTTTCACAGGGACAGATGCAGCTTTTACAAAGTCACTCTAATGGGCATGACAGTTTTCCAATTTCTTTTTGAAAAACTCACGGTGCTTGTTCACATGATCGGGGTGGTGGGTTTCCAAGTGTCTTTTCTATTTAGTGGGCTTCAAACTGTCTGCCGCCAGTATGTTAAGACACACAACACACTGAGTCTCTCTTCTTGGCCGACCATAGTGCTTGTAAAGCCCAGGGACAGATACGCCTCGTTATATTTTCTTGCTTTTACCTTTTTTTGTGCCGTTGTTGTGGTGGTCGCCTGTTACACCTGTGACAGACTTGCCATCTGATTTGCGCTTTATACCAGTCACAAATATGTCCACCTTGGTACATCGCTTCCTTTCTCTTTCTGTGTCTCTCTCTCTCTCTCGCGCGTGCTCTCTCGCTCTCTCGCTTTCTCGCTCGCGCGTGCTCTCTCGCTTTCTCTCTCGCGTGCTCTCTCTCTCGCTTTCTTTCACGCGCTCGCTCTCGCTGTCTCTCTCGCTGTCGCTCTCGCTCTCTCTCTCTCGCGCGCTCTCCTTGGTTTTGCCGCTAGTCATTCTGTAACATGAGCTGCTCTGGGGGGCACGGTTGGAACACACTGCTTGTCACGTCGCCTCCGCTTGATTTATTTTAATTTTATTTTCATTTCTTAGGTGCAACCATATGATATAGTGCCCTATGTTTACAACTTGTTTGCAATTGTATTTGTTATAATTTTATTTTATATTGTTTTACTGGTGTGTGTGTGTGTGTGTGTGTGTCTTTGTGCCTGTGTGTGTGGGTTGGTGATGAAGCCGCACCCCCCAGTTTTGGAACCACTGATTTAAGTGAAGTCAGAATCAGGTTAAATGCTACAACCTCGTAACAAACATCTTGAAACACATGTTATGCAAAATCATGCCTTCATATACTGTATATGTGTATAGTCGCATGGTCTCTCCATTATCTGAAAAGTTCTGTCTTTACATTGTTGACATAACATTAAAAACTCACATGCCATCACGTCTCCTGCCTTACCAGGAAATTTAGCAAGACACTGACAATCGTGTTGCGCAAAAAATAGGTGGACCACAAAAACATGTCACATAGTGCAGTAAGTTAGCACAGACAACAGGTTGACTGCTGCAATGTGAGGGCCGAAAACATTTTTATATTTCTCTGTTACCGAGAAGAAGTAAGTATTCAGTTATTGTCATATTTGCATTGACACAACACTTTACTTTTTGCTTTACATTTCTGCAATCTATGAAATCAAAACAAATTGGTAGCGTCTTAGATTTCTCAGTAAGGTTTTTCCTAGAATGAAAATCAAGCAGTGGAAACTTGATAGAGATATGTAATCCACAACGGTGAACATCCTGTCTGCTTTAATGATGCTGTAAAGCACTGCAAAGATTTTTAATTGTAATTATCCCATGATAAAAACATCTATAAAAAAAGGAAGAAAAAAAAAGATGACTAACATCAGCATACAAAGGTGCCATGCTATTGTTCTGATGGCCCACTATTACACCAATAGTCCAAAAATTGTCCCATTGGCCCAAAAGCCCATTTGTCCGACAGCCCGTTATCAAGAAAACAAATAGCCATTGTTCCAAACGCCCATTGCTTCTGAAATACACACACACCCTGCAACAACGGGAATGTCAATAGTTTAGACTAACCCTATAAACCAAAGTATTGGACATGTGCATTTTTTGACCTGATGGTGGCACTAGATGAAAGGTCAGAGGATCACTAAAGGTATTACAATTCCTCCTGATGTCTGTACAAAATCCAGAGGCCAACCATCCAATAGTTGAGGTTTTTCAGTCTAGATTAAAGTGATGGAGCAACCGATCCACCGGCTTTGCTTTCCTGTAAACAAAGTAGACTGATGTAAATGAGAGCAGACGGTAAATCTGAAAAAATATTTTGGTTAAATAATTGTGGATGTTTGTGATGTTGCTTGAGCTTGTTCCTGTAGAGGTGGTGTCAGTCATCCTGCAGTCTGTTGATGGGACTCAGACAGAGTTGATGATCAGTGGTGGAGAAAACCTCAACCCTGTTCTCCTGAACCCGACCGTCTGTGCTAATGTGGTGCTGAAGGTGAGTCTACTCCAACATACAACCTGTATTTTGAGATTTATAGCTGAAGTTTTAGACTTAGAATGAAAACTCTTGCAAATAAAATAAGTCATTGTCTGCTGGACCAATTAGAAATTTGTATCTCCATAGGTTGCTTATATGACTAAGTACAACCCAGCTGGTGAGATAGTGAATGTGACGGTGTCTCTGGTACTTGGATTTGTCCGTGAAGCAGCACTGTCCCTGGAACAGGAGTTTCACATCACATTTTTCCAGGTTGATCTCTACAAGGCATTGTCTATGTATTATGGAGTGTTGTCCGCTGTGTTGCACTCAGAACCACCATTTGAAGTAGTATTTACTTAGAAAACAGGTTTCATAAAACAAGATCAGTATGAGTTAAAGGATGGCATAACCAAATGAACGGATCAGGTCCTTGCTGGTAAATTTGCCAGGACTGCATTGTGAGGACAGCTTGAGCTTTCTATTGTATCTGAGTTGTTGAAACTAATAAAGCGGTTTTCAGTTGCCTCACAACTTGAACTTTATTTGTCCCCAAAGGTTGCAGCATAGAGTGCAATATTAAAAATGGTAGAGGCTGCAAAGCTTAAGATACGACTGAAACTTCTGTAAAGACTAGAGTGAACCTGCTCTCTCCATGCAAGCACTCAAATTGTGTCTTGATTGCAGACATTTTGATGATAATGTAACAAAAACCATTGGGTATGGGGTTGCTAGGTTGCTTTAAATTTGCCTGATCCTCTATTTTTGAGAAAAGCTGCAAAATGACTCTTTTTCAGAGAAGCTGCAAAATGACTCTGAAAGGGAAACTTCTCTTTAATGCTAGAATTCTACAATCATTGATGGGGTGTTAAAACAATTTTTCTTTTTTTTTTTTTTTTTTTTCTTTTTTTTTTTTTCTCTGACTGATTTTAGAAAGAAATAGTTCGGTCCTGTGCAAACTATAAATGTAATAAATGACAACTTCTTATTTTTTAAACTCAATGTGAATAATGTACTTTAGCTTGTCTCTATTAAACAGGAGGACGAGGCGGCCATCCACTGCAGTGGAAATCCAGGTTATGTGGTTGGACTACCTCTTGTTTCTGGAACAAGAACAGCAGAATATCCTTTACCTGCCTGGATGCTGGATTTCCCTCACCTTGATTTACAGACGGTATGAATCAGTGTGAATAGAAATATTTTAGTTATATCTTTGGACAGTAGTACGTAGTATGGATACTTTGACAGTGTCTGATGAGAAAGAGATGATGTTCTGATGTGCTACAAGGCCCAGGATTTGTCCTTAACAGTTGTCACAGGGATCGCTCGAAGCGTCGACCCCAGAGACACAGTATCTCTTCTCCACAGTGCTGAGGACCAGGACTGTCTGCAGGGACCACATAAGCGCTCCCCTGTCCTGTTCGGTCTGGACTCTGTGTCCGGCTGCACATTAAGGCAGGACATATTTACACTCAACACATCTGCTTACTATGTTCTGGTACAGTGCTTCCTTGTGTCTTAATACATATATGATGGTGACTTGTCTTGTCCCTGTAGACTGAAGGATGCTGCCAACTGCTCCCTGGTCCTTCAGGTGCTTTTGGATGTTTTGAGAGGACCAAACCATGCCAATTTTGTGGCATCTTTTGGAAACTCCCCACTAGACTATCCCCTGGACTGGGTGCCGATCGAGAGCAACTTTAATCCTGTGGTGAGCATGGTTTGAAAACAGAAAAGAGTCTCAGGTCTAGTCTCATCCTGAATCTGATTGGAGAAGTGTAAATCAATCCAGACCAAATATGTCCAATACCTATCTTATGTCCACAATATAATATCTATAACATTTCAATGCATTTTTATTTGTTATTTGACAGTTTGTGTGTCTTAACGAGTCTTAAGTTGTATTATATTTGATTCGTTTCTACATTATTTTCCTATTTTTTTTGTATTTTTCTATATATTTATAATTATTTCCCCTTTTTTTTAAATCATATTCTTTTGTTTTTCTATTTAATTAATTTCCCTTTTTTCATAACTTTACACATATATTGATTGTTGGAAGTGGTTGAACCTAATTTTCACATTTGTATGACTTTGCTAATTGCTACTGTTTGTGGATTAAGTGTATGGTTTACATACCACAAACACTTGTGGTTGTTTTTTTATAACTGACTTCAATCATTCTTCAAGTCGTATTCAATTCCAATTTCAGGTTGAGATATTATATTTTGGCCTTATATAGAAAATAAGTTGAAGATGTTGCATGTTGGCAGAAAGCTCACTTAATTTATGGAATCTGTGTTGTGGGGCCACAATCCAGTAGTATTGTTGTGTTTTGCAGGAAGCACAGAGTTGCAGCATCCCACTGTCGCTGCACTTACAAATTGAATGGACTAAATATGGATTGTTGATGAACCCCCAAGCTCAGATAGTGAGCATCAAAGAAGTGATCCGAACCAACACCACCAGTTTGGTAAGACTCGCTTTTTCATAAATACTGGCATGATACTTGCAGGTTTTAACCCTCCCAAAATCTGCAATGGCAGTCTAATCATTTCTACTGTGTCTGACTGTCTTTGTTCTGCCTCAGGACATGTTGTCTGGAGGAAGCAGCATCCTGTCAATTAGGAGTTCAGTGGCCTTTGTACCAGTTTCTGCTGCTGCTCTTCCTGGTTACAGAGCCACACCCACCATCAATGCCAAATTGCCCTTTGATTTCTTTTTCCCTTTTGTCTGAACACAGAACACGCATGGAAAAAGGGAAGAAAAGTTCATGTTCCCTCTTTTGTCCGAACAGTCCACATGGATTTATGTATGATCTATGTGTTCCTGTATATTGTGTTAATAATGTAAATATAAAAAACTTTAACAAATGTTTTTGATCAATGAAATGACTTCATTTATTGACATGGTTTTTTTTACACAACATACATACACTTTGAAACATCACTTGATGTACATTTAGTTTTATGTACAAGTCCTCACACTGATGTTTCAAATATTTACTATTAAATTAAGGCCATGGCTTTGGAGCTTTATGGAGTGACATCCAGTAGCATCGGACTATCTGACATTTATTAGACATACAGTATGCAGGCCTTTAACTGGTTTCCATCACTATAATGACGAGAAAACTGGATATGGATCCACTGATACAGAAATTTAAAAAGATGGTTTCGCTTCAAGTAATATAACAGTTAAGGATTAATCAACAAGTAGTAGGAATACTGAAATTGGGTCTAAAATAAAAGTTCATGGAGTGTATATAGTATGATAGTGCCGAGAAGTACGTGCTCCAAAGAGTTAGCTCGATAAGTCAGAAGACTATGCTGTTCTTCTTCAGGAGGGCTTGCAGTTTCTGGTTCTCTTGTTCCTAAGATGGATGCAGACGGAGAGAGAAGAGTCAGTATGTAGTTGGACATCATTCAAAGCTTACACACCCACTGTTGGGTCAATTGTGCTAGCCCAAAGTTTATGGATTTCTGTCCTCGTGGAGATCATTTTCGAAATACTTGTGCTGAGATTCCCCCACGGTGTTGTGCAGGCAATTATACACTACCAGTCCGATTGTCTGACTACTCAAGTTGTTTTGCAATTGGACATTTTTTAGCATTGTCACCATGTTCTGAGACCTCAGCCTTTACGTTGGTGAGTACAATATCATCACTGATGGAACCAATTACAAGGGCTACAAAAAAATGTAATTTCAATAAACTTTTTTTCATGAAAACAGCTAAAGAATAAAGGCTTTCAGAATTGAAAGCCTTTATTCATTAGCTGTTTTCCCTTTTGGTGAAATGTAAATATTTTGAGTCTAAAAGGACAAAGCTGAGCTGAATAAATACCCACCATCTCCAAATTTTTAACTGTAGGATACAAAGCCCCTCCAGGTGTCTGGATAAACTCAAAATGTCACAATGTCATCAATCATAGCTGTGGCCCTGTGGATATCCCATCTATGACTTCTTTTAAGTTGACATATGATAAAACAGTCCTTGTGGTCATGCATGTGGGTATCTGGAGTGCCTACCATCCCACAAACTGAAAAAAGACTACCCAATCAGTTTGTGTACTGGCTAGATATGAAAACATATGATTCAACAAGCCATTCAGATTTGGCTCCCATTCCTATATCACATGCAGGTTAATTTGAACTTAAAGAGACAGCCGCTAAAACGGAGTGTTTCAGACAGAGGGTGAACACAGCTATATTCAGACAGTATGAGAAATATGTGTTATTTGAACATTAAAGCTTGTAAACATGTTCTAGTAGAAACACAAAATACAAGTATGAACCTGAAAATGAGCTTGAAAGCTCATTAAATGAACAGTCTGAGTAATATTTCTGATCTAGTATGAAGCAGTTATAATGAATCACCAGTTTATCACTGTGCTCTTGTAGCTCTGTGACTCTTTGAACGAGGTGGTCATAGCTCTCCTTAAGCTTGTGAATCCTCTGGTCTGCACGGGTTTTCACTGACACCAAGATACCTGCAACACATTCAAACAGTCAAATGGGTGTGTAGCAACTTTGCTGGCTTATAGTGCTCTTCTTTTTTGACATGCACATTTTTACTGCAAACTCGAGGGAACTCAAGTAAATGTATGTCATCATAAAAACTCTGCCAAACTGGGCCTAAGGCTGCTGGGTGAGAGGAGGGGAGTCTGTGATTGGGTGTCCATAGTCTCACTATCATGGTCTTTTTAGTAGCAAGTATTATTGTTATACAATATATAACAATCTAAATGAACATGTTTTATCTGATTTTACCAAAGACACAAATAATTAAAGTGTTTCTGGGTGATATAACACTTTATAAAATTGATTCATAATAAAGTCAGAATTATATTTATTTTTGAGACATGCCGAAACTATTCCAACCATTTGCCTCCAGGACTACCAAAGTCTAGGGCCACATTAAGGAGGCTAGGTTAGGTTACTTAAGCACAGATAAACCGCAATATTTTTCACTTACAGCAACCATAAACAGTTTGATTTCAAACATGAGGTCAAGCAGTGTTAAAGGTGTTAAAAGGTGCAATGTGTAAGATGTGACCAGAATATGAGTTAAAAACATTCGAAAAATAAACTAACATTATCAAGAGAATGTGAAGTGGTTACAGTGTTGACGTTAAGTCAAAGACATCAATGTATCAAGGTAGACAGAACACTGGAGTCGCTTGTGTGGTAAAATCCCTGTTTTGTCAAAAGGAGTCTTGTGGTTCTGAAGAGAGCATAGATAACCGTTGGAAAGGGTTGCATGACGGGAAGGTAAAGCGGTGAAAATATTCTAAATATAGCGTACACTTAAACTAGTATTGATTTTTTTTTAGGTGTCCAATATACATTCTAATACATTACTTTGCTCCTGTCCAGGTACTCCTGCATGTTTCTCCAAATTGGGGGTGTGCTGACCGCCATCTACTGTATGTCGTTTGGCTACCTGGTTGATCCTGCCAGTAGCATATGCTTGTCTCAAAGATTAAGCCATGCAAGTCTAAGTACTACTAAGGATAAGAACTTCAAAAAACCTGAACTATCCCTTTAATGTTAACGTCTAGTGCAGGGGTCGGCCACCTTTACTATCCAAAGAGCCATTTTGCCCTATTTTCCACCAAATATTCGTCTGGAGCCGCAAAAGCTATTTGATATCACAGCTTATAAAGTTTTATATATACCGGTAGTTATATTATATATACAAAAACTATAGTTTGTTGTATTTATGAAATTATAGAACAAGAATAAAGACAATTCTTGACATTTTATTGCTATTTTCAGTGACAGTATCACCTCAAAATCCAAGATAAGAGGTGTTCCCTTTGAAAGATTGTCCACTGTGCAAACAATAAAATATATTTTTTGTCAAAGCCTGAGGCCATGTCCACACTATACGTTTCCATTTATAAACGCATATGTTCTGCTATGTTTACACTGAGTGTCCACACTACGCCGGAGTTTTCAAAGCACCGAAAAAGGAGGAGTTTGGAAACACTCCCGAGGACGGATAAGTTTGAAAACTCCGGGTTTGCTTTGTCGTGTAGACAGCGTAAATGCATACATTTGGAAACGATCACGTGTTCACTACTTGATTGGTTCTTAGCAGTCACGACGTGTCCTTCCCTGATTCGTCACGCCCCTATCATGTGACCCTTACCCGGAAATTCACAAACAACAACATTATTGATTATCGATCGACTACCAGGTCAATTCAACATGGACAACTGATTACAGGTGTTGTTGACATTGTTGTCTTTACTAGCAGCTGTTGTTCAGTTAAAGTCTGTATTTCTGCAGAGGAAGCAGCTGTTATCGGAGTGATTAGCGAGCGGCATGTCGAAGGGGGTTATTAGACCTACAGAGCTGAAGTCATGGTTAGCGGCTTTGAGGAGGACGGACACAAAACGGAGGACTTTCCTTTTCTTATTAATGCTTATTTTGTTCTGCACAACTATTGTGAAGTCCACACGCATAAGCTATAAAGGAACAAAACATTGATTGCTCTCCAGTATGACAGATACTTCAGCCACCAGCAGAGCTACGAGTAACAATGAAACCGAGGAAACGAGTGAGAGACGTGTGTTGACCACATTTATGACCCATAATCTAGTAAACTTTTATGTGTGTTGATTTTAAAGTAAATTTGATGTGAGAGAGACCTCACATCAAAGACCTGCAGTGTTGTAACTAAGTCTGAAAAATAAAACATCTAAAACTTTCCACGAAATGTGTCTGAGTTTATAGTGGAAGATTTTAGAGAAGATTTTAAGTTTTTCATTTTTAAAGACTACTTCATAACTCTGTCGTATTTTTTTAACTTAGCAACGACTTCCTGTCTACACCGTCACCCACCCGCATGCAAAGTGGTCGTGAATAGTCACGTGATATTCATTTACAGGCGTGTTATTCTGGACGGAGATCATCTAGAAAACGATGCTGAAACACCGTGTGGACGGAGATCGTTTTTGATTGTTAAAACCCGTTTTAAAACGTATTAGTGTGGATGTAGACTTAGGGAGCCGCAACAGAGGGGCTGAAGGGCTGAATAGCTGCATACGGCTCCGGAGCCGCGGGTTGCCGACCCCTGGTCTAGTGGTATGTACCGACATCCCCAGAGAAACACACACTTGTTGTAGAGGCGCTGGCTCTGCCACAACACAAGTACCCACACTGTAAGATCAAACGGTAACAAAAGCTCCACCTCCCTGTCATCCAGCTGAGGCAAAGAGACCCTTTGGCACACAGACAGAGCACCCCAACATCTTCCCATATAAAAAATGTCATTCAAAACAGCAACAGCCTTTACATACTTCGAGGCAAAGTGTTACTGACCATTGATGATTCTGGCCACCCTCCAGAGTCGCAGCAGGATGAGGAGACCCATCCCATCAAAGGCGTCCTCATGGAAGATGAACACAATGTCCAACACGAAGGAAACCACCACCACCGCGCCATCAAACACCTCAAACTTGTGTTGAAAGAACTCCAGGCGATAAGCGTACAGCTTACCAACCAGCTCCACCATGAAGAATGTGAGAAGAGCCAAGCTCAGGTAGTGGAACACCTGCACAATAAAAGTGAACGGTATTATACAATGGTCTTGATAAGAACTGAGTTTTGCTTGGAGCAAGTGGACAAATCTGTCTCTCACCTCAGGAGCAAGGTGGCCATGTTCCAACTGGATCACAGACAGATCTATAAGCAGCTCCGCAAGAACAAAGATGGCATCCAGGATTACCAGACACACCACCAACACCTGCAAGCAAAGTCAGTCAATCAGTGGGAGGTGCCTCTCTTTATACAGAAACTTCAAGGGGAGCTGCACCAATCTTACCCATCAAAGTGGGATGGAATAGTTTTACATTCGCTGGACAAACAATAGACTGTTTTTGGATCAAAGCGGATAACTTAAACTGCAGTTCCTCTGAAGAAGCCCATTCTTCAGAGGAAGAGATGGACAAGTTCTCTTCCCGTTAAAGTTGACATTTGCCGGTCGTAAGGACGAAAATTCCCTTAACTTCCGAGGAATCCCCGCTGCCATACGGAGGATTTATCGCCACGCAGCTTGAAGCTCCGGATCCCGAATTTAACAAAGAATTTTGAAGAACCACATTGAACGCTACAAAGTAATCTCAGAGTAAGAGGCTTGTGTCTGGGCAGAGTGTATTTGTTACCTTGTTTTGTTTTGTTCTAAGTTTACTGTACTGTTCCTTGTTATTGTGTAATCTTACGGACTGCCAAGTTCTGTTAGTGCTGTGAACTTAGTACTGTTGTATTACATACTGCTGTAATAGTGTTGTAGTTAGATCAGTCACTGCGAGTGAGGTTGGTAATTGCAACATTATCAGTTTAAAGATCAGTGCCACGGCTGCCGAGTTCCCCAGTTGGGTTTCTGTGTGATAAAGTAACAGTTTCTGTATTTTACTGCTACGGTGAGGATCTGCCTTGTTTTGAGTGTTGAGTGTACTCATCAAACACACATATAGGTTTTGCTACTCATCTCAGATGCACGTGGTGTGTGAACGCGGCCTCTATCGTGGCTCCAACGCCATTTCTGTAGTTTTGAGTAGCGTGATCACGTACGAAACTACATCTGTCATTTTGGTAGTCGAAACTACATCCGCTATTTTGATAGTCTCACGTGGCATGGTCACGTCTCACATACCTGGAACCGCTCTGAGCCATAGAGCCTCTGCAGTGAATCCTTGAAGGTCAGTGTTGTTGGAAACTGGCCAGTGGCCGGACTCAGCTCCTCACTGTTCACGTGCAGCTCTTCATCCTCCCACTGGACCGGCTGCGCATCGCCCACGGTGGTGAAGTAGCCCAGGTACTGAGCCATGACTGCAGGCTTAACAAAAGGAGTGGACCAAAAGCCCCACCTCAGCAGCTCACCTCAGAGGGAAGAATGTCAGAATGGATTCAAATGTATATCAGATGCTGTAGATTAGGATTACACAGCGGTTTCTCTGTACTAACTTTATAAATTGCGATTAACAAAATGTTCCTCTGTTATTTCAGGAAACTCCTCCGGTTGTCTGTGCCACTCGATAATAGCAAAGCCAAATATTGTTGTATAAATTGCAGACTAATGTGAGTCAAGACACTGACAGCCAGAAACTGTTTTTACCATCTTCCACTTTTGCAAATTTCTCCATATGTTAGACAATCTGAGTTTACTTCTCCTTTTTTAAGTTTTGCAACATGTTATTGAGAAAGCAAACCTTCTCAGTCAAAAGGAAATTCAATCCAAGGGCTACTTTGTGAAGGAAAAAAAGTCATGAGATTGTTCACAGTTGAAATGAAAAACATCCTACCAATCCGATCATAGCCCATGCAAACTGTCTGCCACTCCACAATTTTTCTACACTGTTAGCCTAAATGAAGTCAGGACATGGATTATAACTTTTCTTAGTACCTACTACGAACAATAAACATGAACACATTAACAATTTTTTTTCTACGTTTCCCACCAGATTTAGCAGAGATTAGAGCAGCAGTTCGTGTGGACAACCTGTTCTTTTCTGTTTCGTGAAAACTCGTGATAAAAACATCCGTCATATTTGCCAACCCAGCGTTTTTACTGACAGTAACATTGAAGGGTTCAGTGAGAGGCAAATATGTAACGCGTCAGAGCTGGCGTTGTTACTTTGCATAGTAGCCCGTAGGCTACTCGTAAATAGTGTAACCGTTATGCCGGATTAAATGATTTACCTTTCCTCCACCACTTTGACGTTTAAAACACACTTTTCTTCTCCTCAGAGCAAAACTCTGACAACTTCGAGCAGAACAACTCCGCCTTCAACGTAAACCCCGTTATGAGCAGAGACAGCCTGCCAAACTACGTTTAAATATGTAGAGTTTTTATGTTGTCTCACTTCGTCGTAAACATTAAACAAACTTTTACTTAATTTATGATACACTTTTTGTATGCGCCGCTTATACTACATCACACAGATGACACTACTAATGTTTCCAGGATTGCCCCGCCTCCCAACATCTTATTGGATGATCTGTTGGGAGGTACTTTAAAGCATTTCTAGAATAGACGTTCCTATAATGTTTCTTGGTAGATTATATAAGAGCCGAATTAAAGTGCTGCTCCAAAAATATTTTGGACATGGTCTTGTATGGTAATGACATTACCATACAGTATGTTCATGTTTGCAAGGCAATTAGGATTAATTGTACCTAGTTGTGGATGAAGTTTGCTTTGAAATAATTGAGCTGTAGAAACTGATGCTAATTTGCATTCCCCAAAGTGGATTGGCATCTTTTCACGCTTTCGACTCTTTTCTTCAGCAATTTCAAACGGCATTAATCAGATTTATGTGTTTAATTAAAAAGCCAATATTTCAATGGAACGTTTTTATTGGGGGGATATTTTCTCTGTATGTATATTTTGCATGTATATTTTAGGCAGGCCTAAAGACCTACAGTATAGTAGATCCATATTAAATCCAGCTACCTTCTGTGCATTTTACATGTGCTGCTGTGTATCTAAAACACAACAATTATACTAAGTGTTTAAATTATGCTGTCAAAGTTAGTACATAAACTATTTCTGCCTTGTGCAACCACACATTGTGTTCTCCAAGCTTTAACTCTGAGTCTGCACTGATAACTCACAAAGGCCATTGTTTGTGATCATACTGCCACCTACTGGCTTTATAAATACTCTGCAAATATGAGAGTAATATAGTATTATGCCCAAAACAAAAGTTTGCACATCACCTGCAATTCATTTGGAGGAGATTTATGGTTGTTTGGATTACAAAAATAAGAAATTAGGCAAATTGCAATAATGAGAAATTATGATTATCATAATTATTACCAACTAATGATGATTCTGACACACATTAAAACTACAATTAACGACTCACATCGGCTTTCTACAAATCTTTTTTTTTTATATTATTCTTTGTTTTTATATTATTTTATTCTGTTTTAATTAGTGCTTTTGAAATAATAATTTTAAATTCCAATGTATTGGGGACCTGAGGGATCCCAGTTGAAAGCACCAAATTACACCCTACGCAATTTTAATAGATAGCATAGATAGATAAAATATTTGCCATGGATCCTTATTAAAAGTATCACACACTATCAGGGAGGTAGAGGCACCATGTCAGTTATTTTGAAGGAGACAGATACAGTATATGCACCAGACAAAGATTTCCTTTTGTGCTCTGCCTATTTTTGCTAATATGCAAATTTACTATAACTTTACAAAAATTATATGAATCTGTTTTCTCTCCAGTCGATAGTCCTTGTATGTTAAATATGTTGATAGGTTGGTCAGGCTACTGTATTAAGTCTGGGGCCAGCTAACATTTAGGTACTGAAAACATGTCCACATTGAGCAAGTGTGTGAGGAACAGGGGTTAATATGGGCCCAGCTGCCATCTGGCTTCCATGAACTCTAAACTCTACAATTTGATATTTTTAGAAGGACAGTTCTTTTTTTTTTTTTTTACAGGAAATGGATATATATGGGGATATACTGGGGACTACTACTAAACTTCCAAGTCTCTTCAGAAAAAAAGTGAACCCAAAATAACTTACTTCAGTGTGGTTATCAACCTTTAACCTCAGTGGAGGAGGGTGGATTGACATTAGGAGCATAAATTTACACAACCACAGGACTCTAAAAATGACTATAGGACTAAAAATGTCTGTAACACAGAGGAAATACAAGCCTACAATTTGTAACTCAAAAATAGAGTACAGTCAGGTCAATGTAACTCAACACAGAGTTCTTGACACATCACAGAGTCAGTCTGCCTTTGCCTGATGAAGGAGCAAACATCTCCGAAAGGTTGCAATAAAGGAAAGAATTTATGCATAAGACTAAGGATATTACAGTATAATCTTTCGAACCACTCCAATCCCGTCTGGGATGGAGTTATTGCTTAGTGTGGATGGATTATTGTGTGCTTGTGTTTGTGAAGACTTTAAAGTCCAGTAATTGGAAAAAGGGAAGACACATTTTGGATATAAGGCAGGGTCGTGATGGGTGGTGGATGTTTCATTCCCAGGTTCAGAGTCAGTTTCATGGACAGTGCATAATTCGGATAAAGTGAAACTCACGGCGTCAGAAGTCAATCCATCCTATTGACCTGAAATGGTTAAGGCTAGACATTGACTTGGAATAGTTAAGGGGTAGCCATTAACCTAGAATGTTTAAGGTTAGGAATTAACTTTGTATAGTTACGGTTAAGCACTGATTGGAATGGTTAAAGTTAGGAATTGATCTGGAATGATTAAGGCTAGAAATTAACTTGGAATGGTTAAGGGTAGGCATTGACTTTGAATGGTTGAGTTTAGGCTTTGACCTAGAAAGGTGAAGGTAGGCATTGACCTGAATGGTTAAGGCTAGAAATTGACCTAATCAGCTCAAAACTTCCTGTTCAGGGCGATAGAACTCAAAGACAGGCTGCTGTTTGCATCAAACGAAAATGAATCAGGGGAGCAATATAGCCCTGATTTGATAAGTAAGAAATTCTTGAGGTCCGTGGGCACAGGGCTGTTGAGTGATAACATTAAATTCCAGATAAAGCCTTTCCTGGATGACCCAGCAGTCAGTGATGAGATGATCATTGAAAGAGTAAATGAGGCAGCAAGTCTTGAGGCAGAGAGACTCAACAAACTCAAGAAATCCACTGTCAAGTTAGCCTGTGTAAATGAGCTACATGCTAGTGTTTCAGGTGAGGCAGCGATTAGCCAACATAGCTCTTCTCCAGACCCAACTGCACAGGCTGGGAGGAACAGCCGAGACCAGAAAGAAAAGCCTCCGGCAACCAGCCACACATCAGAGACTGATATCCATTCAATCGTCGGGGAACTGAAAACAGAAATGGCAGAAATTAAAAAGATAATATTGGCTTCTATGAGTACAGACACAAAAACAAACAGGAAACAGACAATGGGAGAGAGAGGGGCTCGGAAGAGAGGCTGCAGGACCTGCCAGGACAAAGGTGAAGGAGAAAGCTGCAACCACTGCTTCAAGTGTGGCCAGGCTGGATATGTGTCTCGTGGGTGCAGGGCTCCTTACCAGTCTCAGGGAAATGAGAGAGGGTTGCTGTAGAGGGACCCACAGTAACCCAACAACAACCATCACAGTCCCGATGTTGCCAGAACTGCCTACAAGAGGAGGACCGGGGAAAAATACTACAAAAATGTAAGGGGTGTTCAGCCACATTATACTGCTCAAAAGAATGTCAGAGAAATCACTGGGAAAAGCACAAGCCTCTCTGTGTGGCAATAATTCAAGTCGAGAAAAAGGTAACTGAGGAGGAAGAAAGAAAACACAAATTACCAGATATGTGTAAGGTGAGCTACCTCTCAGCCAAACAGAAAAACAGACTGATTAATTAAACTGATAGGAAGACGGAATATGGTGAAATGTAGCTTTGACAACATACCTGTTACAGCACTCTGGGACACGGGGGCACAGGCAACAGTGATAAATGATGCCTGGAGAGGTAAACACCTCCCTCAAAGCACAATTCGTCAGATTGATGAACTTATTGGAGCCAATCCACTAAATGGGGTTGCAGCCAGACAGAAATACGATCTATTGGGTGGATACCGGTAGAGTTCAAACTGAACAACTCTGAGGATTCTAATACCAGTATGTTGTTACCAGTGCTTGTGTCCAGCGACCCGAAGGTAGCTGAGGATCCCATCATAGGCTTCAACGTGATAGAGGAAATGATAAATACCCAAATAAAACAGCCGGGAGTGACAACAGATGACTGTGTTGCAGAAATAGTTAGTGGGGCCTTTGGCATTGACTCCAGTGCTGCTGAGACCTTCATACAATTAATGCACACCTACCAGTCAGATAATGAGGAAGTGATCGTGAAAACGGGCAACCTAGTCCTTCCTGGAGAATCAACCACAGTGAGGTGCTGCTCGCACACACAGACAGAGCCGCAGGACACAGGAAACACACCACCTGATGAGATTGGCGGAGTCAACATGGACACACCATGTCCAACCCAGAGTGACAGCAAAGCACCTAAAGCACTGGATCACCTGACCAGCGAGCAGCAGGCTATTGCAAAAAAAATGCTGAGAGAGGAGTGTAATGCCTTTTCAAAAGATGACATGGACGTTGGCTGTATTCCAACACTGAAAATGCACATCACCTTAAAGGATCAGACTCCTGTCCATAAGATTTATATCAGTGTTCCAAAACCGGTTCACCAGGAAGTGAAGGAGTACCTGCAAGACCTCATCAACAGGGGCTGTATCACAAAAGCAAAGTCACCCTACTCCTCACCAATTGTGTCAGAAAAAAAGATGGTAGTTTGAGATTATGCTGCGATTACAGAGAACTAAATCGTAAATCAGTGCCAGACAGACATCCCATCCCGTGGATACAGGATATGCTAGATAGTCTCAGTGGGAGTTCCTGGTTTTCAGTGTTAGATCAGGGCAAGGCATACCACCAAGGGTTTCTAGATGAAGAGAGCCAGCCTCTCACAGCCTTTATAACTCCATGGGGCTTGTACCAGTGGACACGAATCCCATTCGGATTGAGTTCAGCACCGGCGGAATTTCAAAGGAGTATGGAGGAGTGTCTATGGGGACTACGGGATGAGATCTGTCAGCCATATCTAGATGATAATCTAGTCCACAGTAAATCCTTTCAGGATCATGTCAACCACATACAGATGATTCTGAGGCGGTACCAACAACACGGCATCAAGCTCCCAGCAAAGAAATGTGAACTATTCAGACACAGTGTGAGATTTCTGGGGAAGATTGTGTCTAAGGAGGGATACACAATGGATCCTGCAGAAATAGCCCCTGTGCAGGCCTACAAGGGGAAACGTCCTACTACCGTTGGAGAGGTAAGAGGTAAGCTAGGGTTTCTCTCCTCCTACAGATCTTATATACAGGACTTTTCATGCCTGGCTAAGCCA